ATGCCACCTCTGTGTATGGGGGAAGCAGACAGGACAGCAGGCTGCACCAGGAGCTGCGCTGTGCTGCTCCCCTGCAGTGCAGTAGCAGACGGGTGGTTGTCCTGAGCTCGGTGTTGTGGGATGCCGTACCTGGAGGAGCCCCTCCGCCCTTTCCAGGCTGCGAGCATCACTTTGCTGCTGGGAATAGAGAGCGAGCTCCAGAAGTAACACTGACAGACTTCAGAATTACGATACGGTGGAGCTCCGGCGTAATTCTTTGTTGAAGAAGTTAGAGGCCTAAAATGTTAAGGCTTATTGTTATTCTGAGTTGATAATCTCTGCCTTGCTTTAATAATTTTTCCTCATGCCTGGATAGCCTGCGAGTTGCACAATAATCACTCACACAGCTTTGTAATCAATGCCCAAAGTAATAGGATTCCGCTGGCCAACGGCAATTAATAAATTTGTGTCTTTTTTAAAACACTAGCAAGTCGGGCCTGAAATACGACTGACTGGCTTTCCTCATTTGCATATTTATTGCAGTGGAAAAATTCTTGCCGAATGATTGATGTTGAGCCTGCCTCTTGAATTCCAAACAGCACATTATTATGAAATGAAAAATGCCGGCCATACAGTTGATTAAAGTTGAAGACAGTGGAATCGGTGTTTTTTAAGATTGTGGGAGAATTAAAGGCATATTTTAATAGATGTTGACAAGAAGTGAACTAACAAAAGCAAAGCAAAGGATTTGCTTGAAAAGATTTAATCAAACGTGTTTCTTGGGGGATTAATTGCTGGGGATGACTAGTGCAAGTGGCTGGCTGGTGGATTTGAATGAGAAGTATTGTTCTGGGGCCGGCGTATTGAGTGCCATTTTGACCTGTAGTTTAACTCCTGTCCCACCGCCGTTTGAAAGCAGAGAAAATTTCCCCTCTTCATCTGAATGTTGGGATAAATACGTGCACCTGATAACAATGCTTTTCATTATGCACAGCTGCTATAATAGAACCCGTTGGAGCCCTCATTCCTGTTGGCACGGTGTGACCGGTGCAGCTCGCGCTGTGCGGTGGGGATGTGGTGGCTTCCCATGGTGGGACGGAACCCCCGTGTTTGGCAGCTCAGCCCTGGGAGGTCTGTGATGGTGTTACCAGTTTGCTGGGCAACGTGAGCAGTGTCTGTTTTGCCCATGAGCTTCCAAGTGCTGTCAGTTCCCAGCTGCCTCTCTCAGCGCTTCTCCTTCTGTGCGTAATGCATTGAAATCCTGGAATTTTGCCCCAGTTTTTAGGATTCCATCTCTGACTGCCATAACCACACATCTGTGGCTCGTAGCCCTGTGCTGGATGGAGGCAGCCATGCAGGGAGGAGCCTGCCTCGTGGAGCTGCTCCAGGAGCCTCGCTGGTTGGATCTCTGTGAATACCTCTGAAAACGTGGCCTCGAGGCACCCGCTTTTTCCATTGACTTGAAGTGTCTCTGCGTGCAGCCACTCCCTGCTGCTCCACGCCAGCTGCTGCTCTCTGCAGCTGCTTGGGAAGATGAAATGAGACCCCATTTTTAGAGGTCATGACAAAGAGCATGGATGTTTATCTGCACGTGAAACTGCCTTGCTGTAGAAGCACTGAAATGACAGTGATGAGAGCCGCCAGGGCGAGCAGGGGGATGTGCTGGTGGATTGGTACCTGCAGCCAGGAGCTGGGGATGTGGCAGCAGAGTTGGTTTGTCTGTAGCCACTAGCATTGACAAAACTGATTTCTGTGGTTTGAGAGCAGTAGGACAGATTCCATCTCTGGTGGGGCTCCTGACACTTTGATACATGGCAGTGCTATCCCTGAATGGAGCTAAATACTCCAGGGCTACTTTCTGAATGGGTGAAGGGATGTATAAAATGAGAACGTATGAGAGAGTATTAACAGAAAAGCACACTTTGATTTACTGGTCCTGGCTCACAGCTTCCTTGGTGGATTGATGTGCTGTCTGCTGAATCTGGAACAACTCTTTCACTCCTGTACACAAAATGAAGGGGCTCCCATAGACTCTTAAAAGTGACTCTTGCAAGTTAACATCTTACCCAGGCACTCCGAGTCCCATTGAAGCTGGAAGTTGCATTCAAGCTACGTTTGCTGTATATTTGCTGCAGATGGATCCTGCTCAGCATCAATTCTCCTTTCCCATGCGATAGTGTTAGAAAAGCTCTGATGGAAGGGAGGGATTGCCTTTGTACTAGGGTTAGTTGGCCACTCCATGCGTGGAGTATGGGTTGTTTGGGGATCCGAGTGGCTCGTATTCCACAAAGGGATCTAGATGCTTTTGTGCTGGGGCACCTGTCCTCAGAGAACACGAGTTGGGCATACAGAAGTAACTTCTGCAAAGGGAGAGAGTTTTGTGTTTGTTTTCATTGCTGGTTTATGGCCCAGCGTGAGGGCAGGTGTTAAGCTGTACAGAGGTATTAGCTTTGTTCTGTGCATGGAGCAGGAGGTAGAAGCCATGGTTATCATGTGTGAGGACCGCTGGTTGGTTTTCTTAATGTATTGGTGTGTCTGAAAGCTCCGTGTCTGTAGCTTTTCTGATTGTCTGTTTCAGATGATGAGCAGCATTAAAAATGTAGGTATGTGCTGGGAGGGTTGGAGAGCAGGAGGGTTAGTGCCTGGCTTTCCTTCAGAACAACCCAGCGTGCATCTGTGGAATGGTTTTGCTTTACACAGCCTTCGTTCACGAGTGACTCAAGTCTTCTCCCCAGTGCAGGCAGTGTAAAAGCAGATGAGGGCGTTGGAGGGAAGAGGAGACAGGGAAGGGAAGGCGAATGGGAAGGAAACAGTCCTTCCAGGAGCTGTGTGTGAAATGAATAGGGCTGTGTTGGGTGAGGAGAAGGCAGGGGAAGGTGGCGCTCAGCTTCTGAAGTTGAGTGTACAGCGCACTTAAGCACCCAATGTTAACAGTGAGAATACCATCCAGTAATGCTATTAAATACACACGAATTGAAAGCAGGAAATTACTCAGCTGTAAGAGGCTCACGACGAAGCTGCTGTCTGCAATAATTAGCCCTCCCACCTGGTTAGATGCACGGTCATTGTCTTCCCTGCCCTCTCCATCCCCTTCACTCCAAATAAAATTGCTTCCCATCCCCACTTCTGTTGGGGTCTGTATCTCATAGCCTGGGGGAGCTTGAGCCTGTCTTTATTCCTTGCCTGCTTGCCGTGGCCCTGATATACCCCAGAAGAGCTGGAGTGCTACTCCAGTTGTAATTGACAGGATCAAAGCTGCCTGGGGTGCATTAGCACTGCTGCTGGAGGATAGACAGCGGGTAGAAAATAAACAGTTTCGGAAGCTCTGGGGACATTTAGCTGTGTTGCAGGCAGCGGGAAGGATTTTGCTGTTGTGAGCTGTGCACTCAGGGTAGGGTGGGGGCAATTTCCTTTGGAAATGATGCTTTAGCTGCAGACACGTACAACAAATGCATTTTTAAGGGCTTTTGTCTGTTTGTCTCTTAGAATTGTTTTGATGCGAGCGCACAACTGTTTTACAAGTACAGCAAACCTAATCCGTTAATAGGTTTATATAGAAGAGCTGTCAGAATGTATCTGTAACGAACCCTGGGCTGGGGGAGTCCGACTGCTGATCTGCAACAGAAATCTGAAATCTGACAGCGTCTCCTCTCCAACATTGCTGTTAGTGAGGTCAGGCCATGATCTGTCTGAAGTTGGTGACAACCAGACGATATCACAGCGGTCACGTATTGAGAACTCTGCGTGTCAGGGCTGAGTTCTTCTTGTGCTGCCTGTGTCCGGCTGATGAAGATCTGCTGTTCACTCTACCCACGTCCTCCATTAACAAAAGAGGAATCGGGTGGTGAGAATAAATATAAAGGGATCTGTACAGCTCCCTTTAGGTTTTAGATAGAGGCGTGCTCTGTGGTATTGCCTTGAAGAGCTGAGCCTGTGGTTGATGTACAGCAAGGTACAGAAGGAGTGTTTGTGTACACCCAAACACTTGTTTAGATCAGGATATTCTGCAGGGGGCTTGCTGCATGCCATAGAAGAGCTATTTTTAAAGAACAGATGTGGCAGCAGCGTGCAGTTAACCCTTCCCTACAGCCAGCTCCACTGTATGCCCTTGGAGAACATAAGGTCATTGGAACAGAGATCATTTTCTCTGCATCCACATCTGCATCTGTTTTATAGATACAGAAAAATTACCAGCTCTGAGAGCCTTTGGATAGGGAACATCAGATCAACCTTCAGGATTTGTGGCCAGCAGTTCTGCTTTCCTGATCAGAGTCCTCTCATTAAACTTGCCAGGTCATTGTTTAAGTTTTCCCCGTAGATCAGATCTTGCTACATTTAATTTTACTTACAATCTAATTTCTATCACCTCCTGCGTGGTGAGCACAGCAGCAGAGAAACCAGCAATAGTCACAGCCCTGCAGGAGTTCGCTTTTTCTTCGTGCCCTCCCTCCTCCTGCTCCCTATAGCACGCACATTATGTGCAAGAGAGAGAAGTCAGAGGTCACATGGAGAGGCGATGTGTTTATATACATTTTCCTCTGTGTTGCTTCATAATATTTGGCTGAAACCGACCTCTGTCACGAAACTTAATGCAAAGAGAAGTTAGTTAGTCAGCAGAGAAGGCTGTTGTCAGATTGTGTGTTGTGGAATGCTTCTTCACACGTTCTGTGTTTCTTCAATATCTCAGTCCTTCAGGCTGTGCGGACTGAATGTTTGTCAGTGAAACATTAGATCAGTGTACTCCCAATGTGCAGCCAGGCGAAGGTTTAGAAAGCAGCCCTCCCTCCCATCCTCCCTTTTTGGGAAAAAATTGTTCTTTATCAATGTGATGTTGTTCAAGATTAACAGTTATAAATCAAGGTGAAGTTAAATCCACAACTCCGGCTGGTTGGAGAGAAACGTTTGATTGGACATGAGGCAGCAGTTCAGGTTTGAGAAGAGAAACTAGGCTCTGCAAAGCAAAGTTTTTATCAAAAGCAGCAGTCAGTAGAAAGTTGTCGCTTGTGTCTCTTGTTCTGCAGGTTGTAAAGCCATAGACACATTGCTGGGAGTACTAGTGGACATTCAGGATGAGTTGCTTTATCAATGCCCGGGCACAAGGCACCTGGTAGATGGAAAACAATCAAAACCTGAGAGGTAAATACAAAAGAAGATCTTTCTGAATCCTTTGCTCTCCGATTAAATGAGAAAATGCACAGCTTTCCTGACCACGCTCGTTCTGTTTTTCTCTCCATTGCTGTTGGATTTGGGTGACAGCCATGCTGGGTGAATGACGTTCCTTCCACCAGTGTGGGAAGTCTGTTTTGTAATCTTTCTGAAAGCAGAGGAGAGACTAAACTGCAGCTCCTTCCCATCGGTATCACCGTGGAATGGAACAAGTCTGACTTGTAGCAAAGGGGCTGCTGAGAATTCACACGTGTTGCCTTAGTCCGGCGCAGGGTGTTTAGTCTGTATCTGTTCATTTTTTAGTGATGATGAAATTCCCAGCAGCAGCGATGAAGAGCCAGCAGGTGAAGCTCAGGAGAAGAGGAAGCGCCCTCCCAAACGAAAGCTGAAGGCGGAGGACTTCCCAGAGTTCATAGCCAAGAGGTACAACGACTACAGGACGTACCGGAACAGCATCCTGCAGAAATGGCATGAGAAGACAAAGCTGGCATCTGGCAAGATGGGCAAGGTGAGTCTCTGTGCGTGCCATCGTGTGGTTGGTAGGGATCTGTGGAACAGCACTTGGTTTGGAAGTCTCCTGTCGTGGATATTCCGAGCTGAACCAAGTTCTGCTTGATCAGCAAGTAGTTCATGTTTTACAACACGATTAGGAGTTACTATGCCCATCCTCCTTTACAGCATGTATACTTTAATAGTGTGGGTAATCGTGTCCTCATAGGATCCAGGTTCTCATAGCATCTGTGAGTTTAATATTAATCATTGAGAAGTTCATCTGAAACAGAGCAACAAAGGCATTTTATTATTAAGCCATGCCTCAGGCTACCTCAGGTTGGGAATGGAAGGAGAAAGAAATAAAAAAAAAAAATCAAAAACAAAAACAGCAAAAATCTGTGCAACAAAACCTGAGCCCCCTCCTCTTGGAATGCTGTCTGCTTATCCGCTGACATGGAAAGATAGAGGAACATTGCTGCCTTGAGGAAAAGCTTTCTGCATTATCTGACACTAGTTAATGTTGTTGCAGGGTTTCGGCGCCTTTGAGCGTTCAATCTTGACTCAGATTGATCATATTTTGATGGACAAAGAGAGATTGCTACGGCGGACACAGACCAAGCGATCAGTGTACAGAGTGCTGGGGAAGAAGGAGCAGGATTCCCATCCAGCCCCTGAATATTTGCCTGAGAATTCGGTAAGGGTGCTTTGTCTGTATGGCTCGTGCTGTAGAACCAGTGAAACTCTCTGCAAAACAATTAGCCTTTAGCAGGAAATATTCTTGTTTGTGAGACTGATGAAGAACCTGAGCGTTGAGTCGTGTAATGCAGTGACTAGCAACGGTATGTAGACGTTTCAGTTCCAGTTTTATGGTGTGTGTTACCTCTTGTGCCAGTTCTCAACAGCATAAAACCACGTTTGGTCTCTGACTGCGCCCCTCCTGTAGGAGCTGGTGGTCACTAAATCTGCCCGAGGCAGTGGCTGCAAAGCTTCGTTTTGACTCTGGAGTTTAGAATCTTTAACCCAGAAAGTCACAGAAAATCATACTGCATGTCACTACAGAGTGTATTGGTAGTACGTCGGTTATTAATTTAGTATTTAAGAATGAATAAATACTCAATTCTGATAGATCATGTGGAATTACTGCGCTTGCAAGATGTATTTTTGCCGTTACATTACAAATATCTGTAGCATTTTGCCAGTCAGACTTTGTGTAGTCCTATTTATTTCCTAGCAAAGCTATCATAAATCTGCTTTGGCACTGGCAGCATTTCTGCCTTGCCTTAAAATGTATTCCTAGTCCTTAAAAGCTTTCTATGATGGGAGCTGTTCTCCATTCCTTCCTATTTTCAAGTGTTTACAAGATGCTACATGTGAAGTTGTCAGAGCTGGGGATGAAAGCATGCGAATATGAGTGTTCAGTATTTCCTTTGTATTTCCTTCTAGGAAGTCCTCCCTGAGACAGATTCCAACAGGCACCTAAAGGACATAGATGAGGAAATATTTGATGATGATGACTTTTATCACCAAGTAAGTGTCTGTCAATCTGTGTTGGCATTATGACTGCACTTAGTTTTGAATATTCACCAAGCTAATGCAGCTGACTCTGTGGTCTGAGTCTGTCTGATCAGTGAATGTGAGTCAGCTCTTAGATCTGCAGTCTCTGTAGATTGTTCAGGAAATTTTCACACTCAGCTTTCCGTATAGGGCTCAAACTTGTGCTGTGAATATGAACTTACTGCTATTCCTGGTGCTGCTGTGTTGGAGAATCAGGGCTCTAGCATTAGATCTCCATCCGTGATTCTCACAGATGAACATTGCTACACAATAGAGAAAAATTACTGAATTATCCAAGGGTGACTTGTTGTTGTTGTTGGTAGAGTACAGTAATGAAAAATGATTGTAGTAGATCCTAAAAAGCACCGAAGTTATTTCATCTCAACTGAGCTCATCTGCTTAGAATGGAAAAACGGCAGAGCTTCTGTGCAGCACTTTCCTTGGAGTTAGGCCAGGTTGGATTTGGGCCAGCTATTCTTTTTATTTGCACCATTCTTGGGAACAAGGTATCTGTGCTTAAGCGCAGGAGGCTGAAGCTGAGGAAAACCTTGTGCTTGTAATGTATTTAATAAATGGCAGTGCCAGCTTCATAAAGTACTGAAATTGCCATGTGTTGAGGAGTACGTCTTATCTCAATGCATGAAAAACTGCTTTTGCTCTGATGATCCACGGAGTGTTTTCATGTCAGGACTAAACAAATATAATTATATTCTTAGAAAGGCAGACATTTCCAATCTGAATTAAAACAGGTAGCGAAGTGTGTGGGCAGTGAAAGAGAGCTGTCACCATGTAGCTGTGCTGGGTTGACTGATGTAGCCAGAAGAATTCAAATACTTCCAAAATTTGGGATTTCACGTGCAGAGCCAGGACTAGAGGTGAAACAACATGGTGACACAGGTCTGGGGATGGGAGAGCACCTCCCAGCGTGGTGTTGGCAGCAGTGGCTGAGGAGACCAAGTGTGTTATGCAGTGAGATGACATTGTCCTGGGATTTGGGGTCCAAGTGAACTGTTAGGACAAGAACAAACACAGTAAGTGCAGTAAAATAGAGGAGTGGTCAAGGAGAAATGTCTGTGAGTGACAGCCTTCAGACCTGTGCAGGTTGGGTGCTTATTGACTATGGAATGTTGAAATTTTTGTAAGAAAACTAGCAGTGGTCTGTCTTCATTTCTAATAACTTTAACTTCGATAAATCCTAACTTCAGAATTATGACTAGTTACAGCTTAGCTTTTCCCCTCACTGGTTAATTGGGGTGCTAGGGTTAATCTAAATTAAAACTTAAACTAATAGAGGTCATTGAGGGAGGAGAATCACCTGAGTAAAACAAATGGGTCTGCCAGGCACAACTGTGTCTTGGCCATTTCCCAAGAGGGAAGTGGCAGCAAATTGGAGTTGTTTCAGCATTCAGGAGAGGTGAAGGATGGGTGACACCAGTTTAATGTTCGGCACCTCCGGAAGCGTTCCAGATTGCATTCCTTGCTGCACCAACTGCTGCCTCCTGCAGCACATTGAATGGAGGCGGGACCCGCCGACAACATCTGGCTGCACAGCAAGGAATGGGTGCAACTTCTGAAACCCCATGGACTCTAAATATGGCGCTTAGCCTGGCGGAGGCTTTAATCACTTACTACTCTTTGGCAGCGGGCTCCGACAGCTTATCCTAGCCTCGTACATCACGCACAGACATCTGCTGAGCCGCGAGGCAGCTACACATTCATTTTCCTTTCTTGTTGTTGTGTTTTTTTTTTTTTCTTTCCATCCCTCCCTCCCTTCCACCCTTCTCCTCCCGTCCCCAATATGCTTCTTGGGAGAGATGATCTGTAAAGATTACTGCTTCATTGTGTGCGAGTAATTGTGGGGATGCCAGCCCCTTGACAGACACGGCGCAGCACCTGTTCCGCTGACCTGGTTAATTTCTTCTGTTGAGTGGGATTTGGCAGAGATTGGAGCTGAAGCCAATTCAGTGATAAGGCTAAAGAAAATGGCTGTATGTTTTCTGTCACCTCCCAATTAAATTGGTTTCATAAAGTGCTTTCCTTTATTTGTCAGGGTGGTAAGCTGAAGCTGAACATTGCATTCAGAAAGGGTAGAGTGCATTACAATAGAGTGCTGACAATACAGAGAATGTGTTTTCTTTCAAACGGGTCATAACTGTGCAGTGCTTTGTGTGCGTATGTGTGTGTGTGCTTGTCTGTGTGTACACGTATAAATATTGGGTGGAAAGGGCACTGCTTCTTCAGCAGTAATGGGCAGCAACGTGGTTGGAGCTGAGGCTGCTCAGGAACAGTGCCCTCCATGCATAATACTTATTGCACAGCATATGTGTGCATCTAAATGGGGGCTTTTGTCTTTGTTTGTAAATTTAGGTCCAGACCTTTTTTTAGTATTGCTTTCATTTCTCTGAATGCCGTTTGGTAATAATTTATTTTGGTTGCTACTTATTGCAGAATGGTGAGATATATGAGAGGAAAAAATGTGGGTAAAGAAGGACGTGAGACACCAATTCCTGTATATTTCAGTGCAAAATTAAGCAATTAAAAATGAACGAGATCTGATCAATGCACACAAATTAATGGTAACAGAATGCCTAGCTGTACTATTTTATTATAGAATATAATCCCGAGCTGTGTAATGAATCTTTGGATAACCATAATTTTCTTGTCCAGACCTTGGAGGCTGATGGAATTCAGTATGTGGGGCTGGGGGACCTTACTGGGGTAAGGTCGGGGTTGAACTCTGTTCTGTTGTTGGTCCCTCTTTGCCTTCTCTCATCTCCTTCAGTTGGTGATAAGCAGTTACAGCCCTTGTTGTGGCAGCCCAGGCTGAGTGCTGATGTACGGCTGGGCTGAATGGTGCAAGAGCTGTTTCCAAAAGATCCTCATTAGTGACAGCAGCTGAGAGGCCAGACTCCATTTCCTTTCCTCCTAAACTCTTGTTGGTACGTGATTTTAAGGAGAAGAAAAAGGCTGGATGTTTTTAGAAGTCGTATTTACATGGAATTCACTACGGCCAATATTGCAGCATTGGGGCTTAACATTCCGTCCTGCTGCCTGAGAGCTGCTGCTCTGCTGTGCTACAGTGGAGATTTTATTATTACCTTGAAATGCTTCGCTAAAGAGAGAGTGGAAATGGGTTTCTTTCCGACAGGAATTAGGGTAGTGTTCAGATGCTAAGAGTTGCACTGATGGCAGCTCTTCCCAGAACAAATGTTCCTCATTGATGGCAGCAGGTACGTCTAAGGAGAGGCAGGAGTATATGTAATCCCTTTTTCTCTCTGTTCTCTTGCTCCCTCCTCCCCCTGATGTGGTTGTGTTGTACATCACTGTCTTTTCTGACAGCTTTCTCTGCTCCAGAAATGGTACAGAGCTGGGGATGGGAAGGGGCAGAGAGCTGCCCTTGGGCTGCGGTTTGCTGAGGTTTGCTGGGACACTGAATGAGGTCTGCGTGGCAGCTGAGGGACCTGTTTGTGCCTGGGCTTTGCTCCCAGCAGTGGGAAGAGCTTTGTTCTGTTTGTTGTTTGTGCTGCTGTTCCGTGGGGAAGGAGTTGATGTCTTGGAAAACTGTGGAGGAGCTGTGACTCAATTCTTGTTCCTTGTAGAGTGGCATCTCATGTACCCACACACAGGGTCAGAGCTGGCAGCAAAACGTGCTTCCTTGTTCCTAGCTTTGCATTTGGAATTCCTCCTCTAAACTGAGTGAGTGCAGGTGAGCTTCTGGCTCCCTTGCTAAGGTATCTGTAGCTCGCTTTGTTCCTCTTCTGGGTTGTGTGCACTGTACAACTTCTTAAGGCTCTTTACACCCTTGCATCCCAGCCAGGAGTGGCCCTGAAGCAGTTCCCAGTCACACGCCGTTTTTCTCTCCCAGGTATTTGATAATGCCATAAACAAGTGATTACTAATCTAGTAACTATTACAAGTTGATAATGGCGAAGAGTAGAGAGAAGACTGGCTTTCTGACAAGCTGGTTTACCTTAATTAAACTGGTGAGTGATTAATATGGACAGCTGATCCTGTGACTTTAATGAGACGCGTTTTGAGTTTGGTGTGAAGAAGAGACGTCTCGAACCGTCCTGCAGGTTCATGGCAATACAGTGCTATTATGCAGCGTGTGTCTTTCAAATGCCTGGGTTGATGGTTAATAACACGTTTTAAAGCTTGATTTGAAATGTTTCTTAAGGGGATATGAGAAAACACGGGTACGCCATCCCTGTTTTGTCCAAAACTGAATTTCAGCAAAGTTTTTTTTTTAAGGTGACCGTCCAGTGATTCAGCTTGTGCTTTTGGTGTGTATGTTGTAAACAGATGATGGGTAGTTAGGTATTGAAGTGTTTCATGGGGAATTAAAAGTAAAATTTGGGCTGTGCTATAAATTTTCTCTAGAGCTGCTGGAAATCCAAATGGAGTTGTGACCACGCAGTGCCAGCTTAAAGGGGAGGAGGAATGTCTTGTTCCGTGTCCAAGCAGGGTGCACTATGAGGTGCATGCTTCATAGAAACCACCGCCTTCTTATTTATGCTGTTCTTAATAATTGTAAAGTGTATGAGAAGGAAACAGAAAAATAATGTGACTTACCACGTCTGTCCAAAGAATAAAGGAGATAAAAGAAATAAATTAGAAAGCATTGGAATGGCATTGATAAAAGGCCATGTTGTCAACTTTCTGCTGGGGAGCAGAGTGATTTTGCATTTTCACCACCAAGGAGGGTAAGCAGTTGGTGTTCCTGTTCTTATTGCTTTACTTGGACTTCACACGTTGTCCTCAGCTTCTCTGCTCCTCACTGCCCAACCCAGCCAAGGGCAGCAAAGGAGCACATGGCTCTGGTGTGCTGTAGCAGAAAGCTCTGAGCCTTTCCTGCAGGCTTTAATCACATCAGAGAAAAAGTGCTTCTCGTGTTCCAGTTCTGTTTCTGAGGTTTGTAAACTAAACTGTACCCAATGGTATGCTACTTTTGCAAGATAGGAATGCAGAGTGGTCTGTGAGGGTGTAGAAAAGGCCCTTTTGTCACAAGGCTGCTTTGAGCTCTGTGTAGCTCTTTGTTCCAGCTGGCAAGTCCTCAGTCTGCACATCAGAAAGGTCAGCAAGTGTAGTACTAAGAACACTGATAGATAGTGCATGAAAATGAGACCTAACCTCTGCAGTGCAAATTGACCTCTGAAATGAGAAATGAATCTCTATTACCCTTGAACAACACCCTGATGGCATTTCTAAATCCCCCTAATTTTGTACAGTGTGCTTGCTTCTCTTTAATCAGCAGAGAAAGGAGTCCTTGTGAGGTGAATTCTTTGGAAAGCACACATCCTTGACTCCAGTGTGAGCTTTACCAAAGGCTTTGGTGCTGGTAGAGGCAGGCACATGGCTTCTCCTGGCTTGGAGCTGGCAGCTGAGCTACAGGCTGTGTTTGTTTGCATAGCAGAGAGAGTTTGGGTTTCTGAAGCTCAGGGAAGATGGGAAGGGGTGAAGGAGGGAAAGCAAAATAGGATATGTTTCAAATCAAAGCCTTTTGATGCTGAAATTGCCTAACTCAAACTGTCTTCACACATCAGAGCTTAATTCTGATAGTGATTTACCTACACTTCCTAGTTAATAATTAGCCATTGGGAGACACCATATATCACTCCTAATGGAATATATGGGGTCTAGTGATAGTTTTCTGTTTTGACTAATAAATTTTAACCCGAATCTCCAAGCTTAATGAAATATTACAGCTTCGGAAGTGTTTTAAGTCTTGTGCTGTGAAAACAGTGTTACGTTATTCAGTAAATGAGTTTATCATTCATTCCGTACCCCGAGCCCTGGTGGCTCTGGAGCATGGGCTGAGTGCAAGACTCTGAACTAGAAAGCGGAAAAACTAATCAAATCCTTAAAGACCAAAGGCAGCGAGGCAGGTCTAGACTGACTTTTTCAGCAGTAGCCTCTGGCTACATCCGCTTTTATTTTAGTAACCATTGTTAGCATGATTTATAACGTAAGCCTTAAGACGTGCACTATTTAGATATAGCAAGATGCTGCACAGCTTTTATTTCTCTTTCCTTGTTTCCCTCTTGTGCCAGCTCCGCTGTAATTCCCCCTCACCTTTGTCTCCCCTGCCTCACCCCAGCCTGGCTGCTGGGGCTCCTTCAGCGCAGCGTTCAGCATCAGTCCTGAGGTCAGCAAGGCTCAGTGCCCCTCGATCTGCTGGACGGCAGGGGAGTGCAGAAGGGGCAGCTGCCTGCAGGGCTTGTCACCTGGTGGTGCACAGGGTGCTTATGGTGTAGCTGCAGGTCTGTGGGGTCGGTGGGCCGCCAGGAGGGTCAGGTCCTGCTGCAAAGCCTTGCTGCTCAGCTCGGAGGAGTTCTGCTGCCTTTCCTCTGCCTGCACAGCTCTGCACTTTGTCTGCACGTTGTGCCAAGGAAGTGAGATGAGAAGAGACAGTAAACACATCCTATTTCCAGCACAGGAAGAAACCACTGTAACATAGCTGCGCCGTTCCTTGCCACTGTTAAAACCCTCCCTCCCACCTTGCTTTTGACAGAATATTGACTAGAAACCAAGATCCCATTTCTGCTTAGCCTTAAGGGCAGCTGTTTACAGAGTGGCAGTGTTACATAGGTTTACTGTGTCGTATGTCTGTGTAACACTGGATTTGGATCTTGTATTTAGCTGCCAGAAGTGACGGTGATGGAGTGGGAGAGATAAACTGATAGATTGTGTGCCAGAAAGATGTTGGGAATCAATCAGATAAACGGGGCAGAGAAATAGCTTGCTGTTTTCTAGTGATAATAAACCAGAGACCTCAGTTCCAGGAATTTTTAAATGTAATTGCTGCAGTAATAATCTCTAAAAATAAGCAAATAGAAAGAAGTAGTGGCAGGGTTTTAATTGGACTGGAATTGCACTTTTTTTTTTTTTTGATACTTGAGTGTCACTGGTATAGAAATTTTTAAAAAAAAAAGTCATAAAATGATAACTGCCTGCTTTGATGGCATTTTTTGTGGGGTGCTTGCCTTGCACCTTCATTCCAGTGGTGCTCAGGAGATGCAGTGAGTTACGCAGTGCCCAGGGGCAGCTCTGGCATCAGCTGTGCCAGCAGGCAGCACCCATAGCTCTGTGGCTGTTGCTCAGCTGGGTCTGACTGTGGTGCTCCAACCTTCCTCCTGCAGCAAAAATACAGGGGAGAAGGAAAGTGCCACTCATCCTGTCTTTAGTACGCTTGTTGGGTTGGCTGGGCTTCTCATTTCCAGGGCTGGTTCTGGTTTGGGTGCTGAAATGGGGGCATCTAGAAGAGATCTGTGCCCCTGTGTTTCCGAGGGTTTGTTTCTGTTCTCTGTGTGGCTGTGCAGGCTCATCCCGAGGCACAGCACGTGCCATCTACAGTGAGGGTGATAAACACGCAGCCCTGGTCAAGTATCCAAAAAGGCTGTTCACAATGTTCTTTGCTCTCAGGAAGCGAAAAGGACAAAACCTAACCCTCAGGACATGAAAAGAAATGGAAAAACCTGCTTGAGCATTCCTGCTCTGCCTGTAAAAATTACATTGCTGTTCTGTTCCTCAGAGTGTGAGCGCTGAGCAGCGCTTGTGTTCTGTTTTGTGAAGCAGTGTGGGGCAGAGCTCTCACTGCACATCTTCCAGCGTTCCACCCCACGTCAATAGGAGTTGTGTACTGCAGCCTGTGAAAGCTCCCATGTTTTCACACTCCTAAAAGCCCAACAAACAGTAATGATCCCTGCAGTACAAACTCAGCTCTTCATTCTGCCCCATGGTGAGGGGCAGCCGTCTCCCTTGGGAAGCTGGGGCAGCGCATTCCTCAAGTTTCTTGAGGAAAGTTTTATTGAACATGTTTGCATTCACTTGTCTTTGTTGTGCTTCTAACAAGGATTGCTGTCTTTCTTCCAGCTCCTTCGAGAACTGATAGAGCGTAAAACCACTTCATTGGACCCCAATGATCAAGTCGCCATGGGCAGGTGAGTAGGAAGTTGTCTGCAGCATCACCAGCTCCTTCCCAGCCCTGAAATGCAAAACTGCTGGTGAGCTTCCAGTCCTCCCTGCTGGGAGAGGAGCTATGGGAGTGTGTGTGTGGGGAGGGGGGGAAAATTCATTAGGTGAAATTTTGGAAGTGAAATAACTTTCATCCTTGTAAAATACTACCCAAATTTTAGTGCAGTGTGTCAAATGTATTTTGTGTACGTCTGAAATACTATGGAAAGCCATTCACTATAATTTAACACGATATAGACAAAATTACATTTAAGTGGTGATTACATTGTACATTTATCTGACTTTACAATAAAATAGATTACAGTAATTAAGATTATATTAAGATTGCAGTAATTGGATTTTGGTAGATTTTTTTCCCCGATGTTGAGTTTTCGTTGTATAAATCAGGTGAGATGACGCTCATTTTCATAGAAAATATATTTATAACTTGGAGAAGTTTTTCCCTGCTGAGAACTTTTTTGGCTTGATGGCTTTCTGTCTGAGCACTTCGAGCCCTGCCTTCTCAATTCCATTGGGAATCAAGCAGCACTTTCTGAGAACGTTGAGTGCTTTTCTTTTTTTTATGTAGTTCTCCTTTGTAAGAGGTGGAACGATATGTGGGACTTCCTGCTGGATTTTCTTCCTGCTGGTTCAATAGGCAGAGATGGTGGGAAGAAATACTTGCTTATCATTTCACCATGCTATGCAGAACTGAGGGAGGCAATAAATTCAGTGCATCTCCTGCACTGTGGTGATTCTGTTCATGAGGTTGGCATAACCTGTTTCACCTGAAGTGTCAGTTTAAACGGGTCAGACCATCTGCTCCATTGTGGGCTTTCTGCATGGAGAAGAAGTCTCTCTAATAAGCAGTGCTGAAACAAAAGAGTACCTTTAAAAGATATATTTTTAATAGGTTTTAGCATTTGTATTTGGTAAATATTTTTTTCATAATCCTAAAGATTCTTGAAAAAAAAAATAATAATCTATAATCATGAAAGAATAAAAAACAGAGCCAACCCTGTGGCTTCCATGGGTTTCCCTGCAGATGAAGAAGGCTCAGTGAGCAGTGATCATCTCATTGGGACCAGCAGGACCCAGCTTGGAGCCTGGTGTGGCTGGAATGAAAAGTGCTTCTTGTTCACCTGCCACGTTCTTGGAGTGACTCAGTAACGTGGTTGTTGGGGTTTCATACTTGTTGTCCTGAGGTCCTCATCTCCTTTATTTTTGCAAATGCAGCAATCAGAAGAGCTGAGAAAGGCCTCGGACCTCACTGTGCCTGATGCTCGTTTGCCTTGTGGTTTTAAAAATCGTGTAACTGTGATTTTACATTCCTCAGACAGTGGCTGGCCATCCAGAAGCTACGAAGCAAAATAAAGAAGAAAGTGGACAGGAAAGCCAGTAAAGGAAGGAGAATCCGGTGGGTGACAGCTTCTGCAGGCAGCCTGAAGTTCTGGTTTTGCCAAGTAGATTTGCACTGCAGCAGGTTGGCTCTGGGGTGCACTGGCACACTTGTTCATCCCCTTCAGGGCAAGATGGCCTGAGACTTCCTCTGGGGAGTCTTAATGTTCTTTGAGCCTGAGGTGAGGGGTTGGTTGGATGCAACCTGTGAGTGCTGCCAGATCAGTCTTAGCAACAATGTTTGTTGGTCTCAGAACACACCTGCAGGGGTGTACAGATATCCCTAAGCAATTTGGGTTGCAATAAGCACTTCTTGTGCAATGTATATTTAGCAGGCTGAAATGTGGAGAGCAGCTTGAGGGGAAGACCTGTAAGCAAGCCCAAGTGAGGTGGATGCCTGTTTCCCACTGACAGTTGGAATGTAGAGTCTAAACTCTATTTTCAAGTCACATCACAGCTTTCTTTAGCTTCAGATTCTGATTCCTCAGTCAGTAATGCGGGTTTCTCATGGAAGAACTGTCCATTCTGCAGGCTAGAGAGGGAAAGCAGCCTGGAGAAGATAGTTGCTTGTTTTATTTTTCCCCTCTGCAGAGCAGATATATTAGTCTGCCTGAGTTTAGCATGACTGCATGATTTGTAGTGAAGGAGGTATTTGTGGCAGGGAGGCATGCTGAAAAGCTGCACCATATCCTGAAAAATCTGCAACATTAACCATCCTTTTGTGAGTAAACTATAAATCGTGAGTTGAGATGGCATCTGATAGAAAGTCAGTGGAGTCAGTCTGGGTCAGGCCTGGCATAGCAATTTTTAAGATAGATGTCATAAGATAATTTATTAAAAGAGGGAAGAGCTACTTTGTTGGCCTGAAAAGCCTATAATTATTGACTATCAATATTCTTTTCTGTCAGCATCACACGTAATTGGATATATTCATGATTCAGTCAAAACTACTGACAGCATCACACAACTGAGTCAGGCTCGTAAACCTCCAGGAACGATGGGGGATTCTCATTGTGAGCAATCTGTGTGCTTCAGCATTCCTGAGATGGGCCATCTTGCTGAGTCCATTGCCTCAGATCTTAAGTGCCTCTTTATTTTGTCCTCTGAATGAAAGTTGCACTGACCCCTCAGGAAAAATGTCAGTATTAACACGGAGGTAAGCTCCAGCATCTTGTTCAGAATAGTCCAGTAGAGCCCAAATGGGTGTATTTAAATGGATGTCACCCTAACCACATTGCTTCTAACATTGCTTAGCAGATGTTCTCTCTTCCCCCCCTTTTCTCCCTTAGATTGAGGTAGTGGTTCTTACATTTCTTTTCATACAGGGATTGGAGATCCTGGGAAGCAAAGTGTCACACGCTGCATTTCATCCATCTCTGTAATTCTTCCTTTTTTAGCAATGTTTTTCCAAACCTTCAATGTTAGAGCGTGTCCAGGTGAAATGTGCCAATTCACTGCGTGGTCTGAGCATCTCCAAGTGCTTTCAAAAGCATTTGCCCTTGTGGCTTGACATGAGGACCTGTCCCCTTCATATGTGGGGAGGTTGAGGCACCAAGGGGAGAAGCAAGCCATTCCCAAAAGGGTGAGCTTAGGAAAGCTGGTGCCCAGCCCTGTGCTGTCCTGCTCAGACGGTCCTTTGGTAGCTGTGGAGGAGCAGTGTGTGCACACCTTTGTTCTTGTCAGTGATGTCTGGTCCTTTGCTGCTGCAACATGGGATGTGGTCCTGTGGATGGAGATAGATAGCTTGTATCTGCTAGAGCAGGCTTTCCAAAGTCCTGCTTATGAACACATGGCAATAATTAGTTCTGAGCAAACAAATTTGTGCCAGAGAATTTATCAGAATTGCTCAGTCCCAACAGCACTGTGCAGCCTGTAAGCTTTGAACTGTGGGAATCAATCAGTTGTTGATGTGAGTGAGCTGTTTCATGGTTCAGCCTGTTGACCCACTGTCTGTTGCAGCACTGGCACGTGGTGCTGTGTCTGTTCCCCAGTTTGATCATACCGTGTTAGGTCAGCACAGCTCCTTCCATTCCCAGAGAGGCCCTTGTGTAAGGGTGAGCATGTGCTGTGCCTGAAGAGCCATTCTGAAATATTCTTGTAAGTTAAAAAATCCCCTCAAGGGAATGTTCCTGCATAAGCAAACAAAAGGGAGTGCAGAGGTGACAGAGAGAAAAGGTGATTCTGGGCAAATGCTTGTGAATCCTTTTGCCTGCTATTTGTCAAGCTCTAAAAATAGCAGCAACTTGGATAAAACATTTCTGAGCCGGGAGGTGGTGTGGCAGTGTACATCAGAAGCTGCTGGTTTGGAACCTCCTGCACTTACACACGAGGATCTGAAGGCACGTTCTCGCTCTGTTGAATTGTGCATGTCAGGTCCTGAGCGTAAGTTGTGAACAGCTACTGCCAGCTCCTAGCACAGGGCAGAAAGCAGGAGGGGATTCCTGTATCTGTAGGTGCACCGCAGCTAGCAGAAGTATTTTGGTGGGTCAGAAGCTGAGACAGATGCAGAGCTGCATCACCTTGGGCATGCCCCTTCTGTTCTTTGGGGTGGTCTTTCTCCTACCTTCTTCTTTGCCTCTTTTTACATCCTGTGCTTCAGAGTTACTTGAGGTAAAAGTTTCCAGCTATGGGTATTGCTAGGGGAGAAGGATGTTGATATCCTTTAGGTCCCGTGCTACCAAAGAGCATGGAAAGCATGATAGCAGATGGATGCTTGGGAATACCTGATGCTCTGGTGCTTCTGCTGCCTGCAGAGGTCTCTGGGCACAAGCTCCAGAAGGCGATTAAGACTCCAGCTGAAGGGCAGGCTGAAAGCAGGAGTTCTTGTTTCTCTGCCTGCCTTTTCAGGGCTGTCTGTCTGGGAGTCTGATGAGGTGCTCACACACAATTAATGGATGCTGTATGTCCTCATTCTAGCTGTGTTGAAAAAGGGATTTGCTTGTTAGTCGTCCATTCAGTTCATTGTATCATCTGATTATTCTTCTGTCCATGTTATAAGAAAGGAGGAGGAGGGAAGGGAGGGAGAATTGCCAACTGTCAGTAGTAACTCATTAGATATCAGCCACCAGGAGAACCAGCACTTCCTTTGCAGGGGCTGATATGTTTCTATTCAAACAGCAACTTTTCATTAGTAGTTACTAATGTGCTGCCTGCTTATTCCTGCCCTGTTTAGGTATCATGTCCATAGCAAGCTGGTGAGCTTCATGGCACCTATTGACCACTGTACGATGAATGATGATGCCAGGTGAGTAATAGATTAATTATGTTTCTCAAATGGCTTCATGACAGCGTGATATTGACCTGTTCTTCAGTCTGTCGCCCTCTCCATTTCTTCTTATCAGTTAACCATTTGTCACTGGCATCATAGCCTGGGTGTCTTGGCCACATCTGTCCAGGCAGTCTGCCTGAGCTTTCATGCTGTAATTACTGTGACACCAAACAAGAAATTTTCATAAATCTCGGTACCTACGTTTTTACTCCTGCTTTAAAATTACATGGATGCTGAAATCTTTTAGTTTTGTGGAATTATTCTAGAAATTGTCAACTGTGTCACCTAACATCTACTGGTATGATTGAAAATTACAAAGGATTTGTCTTCTGACTGAAGTGGCAGCTATTTTAAATTCTGTTCAGTGTGCATTTTGTAGTGCAGGTAACAGCTGGGATGGTTCTGTCAAGATTCAGACAAGTCCTAAATGTTGCTTGTGTTTATCGCTGTTTAAGGTGAGATGTTTTATTAGAAGACTGCACTGTTTTAATTTGCTAATTACTAAAGAGGGTACAAGTTAAGTTTTGTACATAGCTGCTAGACAGTTCTATGTAGACATGCATAGTTCTGCTGTGTATTATGATTTTTTAACTAAATCTTGAGGTGGGCTTCTTGTGGGAGGGAGCTGCTGTAATCTTTACAATGAATGCATGTCAGAGGCTCGAGCAGTGCCTTTCCCCTGGGTTGTGGAACACGTCTGTGCTTTGTGAGAGTAAAATGTCATTTGTCACTTTGGGAAATGGAAGCCGAATACCTGCTGCTCTTAGGCTGTTGCCTTGTGGGATATTTCACAGACTTCTGGATGAGAACTGTTCAGAATGCTGGCACTAAGAGACATCTTCTGTGCACTGTTAGACCCGTGCTGTTTTGTCCTAAGGAGTTCAGGATGTTTGTCTTCACTTGCATACAGTCCCTATTGCACTGCCCTGCAGGTTGGGCAGGCATGCAGGTTGCTGCCCTGTCCCCACAGTGAGGGAAAGCTCCGTTTTGTGATGTGTGTGACAGGGGGAGGTGGAGAAAACAAAGATCCTGATCCTAATAATCCAAGGGTTATCACAGTGTGCTTCCTGTCCCCAGAGGTGACGTTGCTTCCTCCTTCGCAGTCCACTGCGCTCACTTGTGTTCCAGAAGTTGTGCAGAAAACTCATTCTGCAAGCCAAAATTCTCCAAGTGCATGCAAATGGAAGAGCAGCAAACAGCTGGACTGTCATTTGGCTCAATGGGCTTCTTGGGCCTCACTACACGTCCTCTGGCTGCCATCCTCATAACCCTGCTTCCCCTTACCCCTCAGCAGGCACCTGCAGCCCTCCTGGGAGTCCAGCTGACCCTCAGAACTATTAGAGCTAATGGGGTGCTGTCTGTGTGGTGCTGTGTCAACACAGTTACTGTTGTGGTAGGGCCAGAGTGTTCGAGAGCATCTCCTGGGAGTTCTCTGCACTTTGGAGGGGGTTATTACATGGCTTGCATGTTTTATGGGTTCTTTGGTGGCAGCAGTGTGGCAGCAGCTGCTGCTGCTTACTGTCTGACTGCAGGAACTTATTCCTTACATTAAGTTTATTAGTTGCTTTGGAGGCCGCCACACCTTCTGTTAATGGCATTTTAGTCACTTATCTCTTGGTGCTGCTTTAGCTGTCTAGAACGGAGCTGCCAACTGATGTGTTTGCACACCAGCAAGTGGGCCTGAGGGCTGCATTGCGTGTGCAGCTGTGTCTCATTCTGCCAGGATTGGGCTTTCAAGCAAACCCTGGGTAGGACAGGGCAGCACAGGCATCAGGCTGGGCAGTTCTGCTCACAGTTCTGCTCGTGGCCCTGTGGGTTGCCTTGGATGGTTGGCTCAGTGTGCTTCTGTGGCTGTGAACGGATGCCTGGAGGTTTGCAGAGAGGAAGTGTAAAAAACAGTGGTTTAGTAATAGCAGTATTATCACTTCCTCGTTATAAGCCAGCAAAGCTTTTGTTTTAGGTGAGATAGAGCACCGTACTTCTCTAACAGCACACAGCCACATTGGACAAGAAGAATGCCACATGTGCTTTAAACTGCAGGTGTATTAATAAGAAGGAGCCAAGCCTGTATACATGAGAGGGAAGCAGACACGATAACACCTTTCTTCTGTGACAGAAGAAGGTAACTTTATTGTTTCCACGTGTGAATTACTACATTGAAAATGCCGTGTATGCTTGACAGGGATGTGACTGTGCTCTGAGCTGTTTTTTTTCTTGCTCAGGCACTTAAAAGACGTGACCCCAAAGTAAACATGCATCAGAACAGCAGAGTGCTCTGTGTTGCAGTGTGAGAAGTGTAAAAGTATCAGTGAGCTGTGCATAAAGAAGAGTAGCAATAGAGCTGGCTGCACATTCCTCAAGTTCTACCAGTGGCCACAGTGTCAGGTAGATACCTGGAAAGTGGCAGTGAATAAATACGGATGTGCAGATGTGAATGGGCAGAGTGGTGCTCAGGCTCTGGTTCTGCTGGGGCTGTGCCAAGCCCTCACAGCCCAGTTGCAGCCCCTTCACCACTGGGGCAAAAGCAGAAAGGAGTTGTCTGTGACTGCAGCACTGTGTTGCCCAGCCCCTTTGTGTGTGTTTGCACAGATAACTGAATGTAGGGATAAATCTGAGGCCTGGTTTTCCTGTACGTTTGAGCCATCTTACGCTGCTCTGGCTGTGCAGAGAAGGGCATAGCTTCTTGGCACAACTTAAAATCGTGCCAGGTGATGCTGGGGCTCACCTGAAGGCTCCTGGGTGGCGTTGGTGTGGCTGTGGGCAGCCAGGACTCTTGGGCACATCAAGTTTAACACTGGCTGGGGAAACAAGGAGCAAATGTTTGAGGAGAAACAACCTGTGTACTGTGTGGGGAAGGGGATGGATGGTCACTCCAGAATTGTTTTACAGCCTGAATTTCAAAAAAGAAACGTACAAGTATAATGCTGCCTTTGTCAACATCACTGCCACGTTCTTTCTTATTCTTGCTGCTGGTTGGAATAATAGCATTCGTGCAGGCAATTAATCTTCCACTTGCCAGTTTTTCCATGCACCCTACGCATGGGCATGGCTGTTTAACCTCGTGCTCACATATATTATGTTGTAATGTGTGGGACACTGGTGGCCTCGAGCTCTCCTCTGTTTTAACCCCTCTCTGGTAGTATTTTAAAACATACACTGGAAAGTGATTTTTATGGTTATCTTGGGGTATATGTTTATAGACTTAAATACATTTATGGTACTCTTGGGCCAAGGTTCTCCTAATCGGTCCAAGGTCATTGCTATGTAAATGGACCTGCCCTGTGACAAGGAAGCTGAAGGCAAAAGCTTGAATGTGAGTGCCCTGCAGTGGTGGATTGGAGGAGAGTAGTGGGCTCAGAAAGGAATGGATCTTTGTCAGAATGGCATCGTGTGGGTGTCACCTCCTGGCCTTCCCTTGAAATGTGCTTTTCCTGTCTTCTCCACCTGGGGTCCCTCCTTTGACACCAGCAGCTGCAACAGAGCTGGCGAGCTGCCCTTCTTCTCTACTCTGTACCTTGGGAAAAGAGGCACAGGAGGTGACAGACCGAGCCTCGAGGTTCCCAGTAAAGGTGTGCAGGTCCAGAGCCAAATGAGTGCATTTTCGTAGCTGCAGGAGTGGATCCTCCAACCAGTGTAGTTGTGAGGTCGGGTAAGGTCTGTGCTCCTGGGAGGACGTGAGTGGATTCTGGTGGTGTTACATCTCTGTCAGCTTTGATATATGGACCTTCAGATCTCTGCGCTGTACGTGTGTGCAGCAGAGATGAAACGTGGACATTTTGGAAGGAGGTCCAGTATCAAATTACTGCTCTGTTTGAGGAACATCCTCATCATTTTACCTCTGGAGGATGGGGAACTTGTGAAAGAGGCATTCTTTAAGGACACAGATGTTTGGTCCTCACGCCTTTATCTCCTGAGACGACCCAGGTTATTCTGACAGGTAAAACAAGATTGTGCAAATATGCAACAGTGATCTAATCAGCTGGAACAACAGCAATATTTTAACTGGCGCTACCTTTTAACAGCATCATTAAGGGCTCTCATTACTCTTTTATTAGAGGCTCACTCTATTTCTTATCAGATTACAGAATGAACATAACTCATGGCACTGATTTGATCTCTTGTTAAAGAGGATTACAGCTTTGCATTAACTTGGATTGACACGGTTTATAATTTGCTGTTGATACACATGCTGGTGGTGTCACATGTTTGACCCCCCTCCCCACAGCACTGCTGAGGAAAAGGACACCCATACATCATCATTAAAGATGGCACTGGTGCAGGAACGGGAGGCGAGGGGAGGCCTTCCTGCAGTAAGGCAGGCAGGACAAAAGAGTGCATCCTCAGTGCAAGCTGAAGTTCAGTGCTGGCTGAAGGGCAGCTTTGGGATGGGTCCTTTCTCACCTAAGTTAGCCCACAGGTTGCTGCTTTTGGGCAGAATTGATCGTGCACCAGGACCCTCTTTGCCTGGCAGAAGTTATGTGGTCATCGTGTCCTTGCTTGTAGGAGCTGTGGGCCGTGGGGGCTTCAGGTCCTGGCTGTGTGCCCCTGCTTGGTACGAGAGCAGCCGACCTGCTGTGCTTTTGGCTGCTTTAGTGCATGCAGGCTGTGTCTGCTGGGGAGCAGAGTGAAGGCACAGCTTATCCTGCTGCCAGGGAGCTGTGGATTAGAGCTTTGCTTTTGGATTCAGCCAGGATGTTGCGTGCATTCCCAAGCAGCTTTCTCACTTTTGGACTTAGTGCTGTTGCTCTGTCGCAGTGTGTCTTGCAGCAAGCAGAAGGGGGTACGTCGTAGGAAATCCCGGTATTAAAAGATTAATTTACTTATGTGACATAAGATTTTAACGTAAGAAAAGTATAATAAAAAAAGTTGGTGAGATAGCAGCCTTTAACGTAGCTCACTTTGTGCTGTGGGTATTAAAACACCGTGAGACGAGATTAATGGGGGAATTTGGGTGCTGAGATTGTCAATCCAGAACCATTCATCACGACAGAAGTCCCTGCCAGCAAGCAAAGCATTTCTTCCTGAAACAACTGCAGCTCCTGTGCTGCGTGGAACAAGCACTGGCAACTGCCAGTGAGAAGAATCCTTCCAAGTTTGTACAGGCACAGCCTGGAAGAACATCAGTCCAGGTTTGCACCTGCGTTGTTGTGTGAAACAGAGCAGCGCTGGCATCGGGGGCTGCCTCTACAGCGTGACATTTTGGGCATCGTTTGTTTGGTGGATTTTGACCCCATAACTTTTGGCTCAGCCTTAGAAGTCGACTCGTGTCGATGCTGTTATGTGCCCCAGGTGGCCTTAGGCTGCAGTGCTTGGAAGGGCTGCTGTTGGAGGAAGGAGTCACCATACGTTTGGAGGCTGGCAGTAGTGAGGTGGTATCCGTGCCCCCAGCTTGTGCCAATGGGCTGAAATCATCGTGTCCCAGTGTCTGATGTTTGACGTCCCTGGTAAGAAGACAGACGCCTCTGTTATGGAAATTTCCTGTTTAAAGGGAAAAAAAAATAACCTGTTAAGAGCTGCAGGATGATTTGTCGTCCTTCCTTTGTGAGACAATTTGTCTTCTCCTGCATCAAATCTGTTATAAAACAGTCAAGCTGTGAAAGAGGGAAATCATCCTAGGAATATGGGATGTTAAGGCACACAAAGAATGGTCCCTCCGTGTGGGGTGTGCACAGCGTTACGGTGCCTGCTCTGCTCAAATGCCCATCTGAAACAAGGACCGAGAAGGCAACATTTTATGGATTTCATGGGGAAATTAAAGCTGCTAGGAAACGTGATGGCAGAGCGTGCTGGAGCTTTCTGAACCTTTCCGTCTTTTGCTGCTTCTCCTGCCACTTTTGCATCTTTTATATGTCATGTTGTAAAGGCTCACATGAAACTGTGAATGCTGTTGGGACTGAAATCAGGATGAGAAAGCTTCCTCTGCTGCAGTTGCTGATTGTGTCGCATGTGAGGCCGGTGAAGAGGCAAGAGGCCGTGTGCTGGCTTCAGGGGAGGGTGGGCAGCACCGGTGATGGGTGAGCATTGTGAAGCCTGGCAGATTCCACGGGCAGCAGCCTGGCTGTCCACCTGCCATTTCCCACTCCATGGCCTCACTGTGCAGAGTCCCTTTGTTTAGGGCAGGAACCAGCTTCCTGAAATGTTATAAATCTCGTGCCTGGTCTCAGGAGACAAACCAGAGGTCACATGTCACCGCTCATAATTTAAAGCCATGGGGCTAAAAGCATTTGCACGGACTTGAAGGACCCAATCCTGACCTGCCTGAACGAGAGGGAATAGCAGCAGACCTTTCTGAATCTCCTTCAAGCACTGGGCACGGCGATGAGAGCCGTCTGCTGTGTAATTTATAGCTGGAGTTGTGTGTCTGGGGTTGGGTGCTGGGAAGTGAGGGAGAAAGAGAGAGAGAGTGCCATCTCGTGGGGCTGCCATTGGTGTGGGATGGTCATCGTGTCATGGGGCTGCCATCAGAGTGGGACGTTTGGCACATCATGGGGCTGCCATCGACACAGAGCGGTCATCGTGTTGTGGAGCTGCCATCAGTGTGGATCTGCTGTCATCCTGTGGGCTTGCCATCATCTCCCAGGCCAACCATCTCGCTGTCCTGCTGCCCTGCAGCCCCACATGACCCCGCAGCACTGCAAGCACACCGCTGTGCTTTGCGCTGTGTTTTTGAGGCCCCTGGCTTTCAAAGACCCCCGGTATTTGAGTGCTGCTCTGATGAAGGCTGCCACTCGTTTTGCTCCCCATCAATCCTAGAATTGTTGCTACAGAAGTGTCAGAGTGGGAAATGCACGTTAGGTGTGTGAAAGCAGAGCCAAATCCCATATGCTGCGTGCTGATTTTGAGCAACACTTTGGGCCTGAGATTGAGCAAGAAAGCACTGCAGCTTATTGTACCTTCCTGGGTTCCTGCTGTGCTTGCTCGGAGCCCAGTAACCTAAATTTCCTACTAGTGGACAAAAGATTTCTTAGGATACAGATGGAAAACTTCCCAAGCAAATGACAGGCAGCCTTCTGCGTTCATCAGGTGTGTGCTTTTCATCCTCCATTTCTTGAGGGGTCTTCATGCTGTCTCTTCCACTGGTTTTTGTGAATTAAAAATGCGTTGTTCCTGGTGGAGGATGTCACGAGCAATGGGGTAGTTGTAGTTATTTCAATACTGCTTGGGGCATCTTCTAAATTATCTTTTTTTTTTCATCCTGGAAGAGGAGAAGAAGGAAAAGGTACATGGGAAAAGGCACAGCGATGCGTTGGAGGGTATTTTTATAGAAGCAGCACAGCAGTGACTCGTGGCAGTGCTGTATTAATAGCACTCTGAAAAGAAAGAAGAAAAAAACCCACCAGAAATGGAATTTTTCCCCTTAATTTTGTTCTTCTACCAGCGTGCAGAACTGTATTTTTTTTTTTTATTAAAAAAAAAGGAAATGGCATGAATGTAATTACACCAAGTGGCCCGGCGTTGGCCGTTCGGTGCTGTGTGGGGATGGCTTTGTTTTCCCTTTTGTGTCTGATGGAAGAGGGGCCGAGCAGTGGAGCTGGGGAGAAATGCCCAAGTAATGAAGGTGCCGTGCTCACACACATGCTTTATGGCACATGGCTCTGTGGCTCGTGATCATTTGTTTCCAGAAACGGGTTTTATGATAATACAGTAAAAATATTAAATTAGAAAATGCCTCACTAAGGGTGATAAAACCTTACTACAGTGGAAATAGGTAATTATCCCCTCTACAGCCTAAATGACAGTTTAAAAGAAATAAAAATGTTAGTGCTCATTACTTGCTTTTGTAGGTTGCAATAAAGGGTAAGTTAAATTTTAATTCAAGGAAGACCCCTGCATCGACCTGCTTCCTCGCACTGCACCTGAGCTGTGGGTGCTGTTCACTACTCAGCACGGCGTTGGCACCGCTGCCCCTCGCTGCTGAAGTCATCTTCCCTTGTCCGAAGGCAGCAGCCTTGTGCTGGGCTGGCTTGGCTCAAGTCGGTGGCTCAGGTCTGATGGTTAATAGACGTGGGTGAGGGAGAGAAACTGGATGTTTTTTAGCCAAAATCCGGGCTCATTACGCTTAGCCTTAAGGGGGCTGGGAGTATTAAAATCCACACTTACCCTGGTGAATTGAAACAGAGACAAGGTTAAACCTGGAGGATTGATGAGTTTTACTCTCTGCATGGTTAAATCCTGCTGAGGGGAGATGCTGTGAAAGAAGGGCAGCCTGGATGGTGGGAGGAGGGGGGAAAGGAAGAAGGTTGTGTCGTCATGTTTTCTTTAGCAGGGCAAAACGCTTGTTTTGATTCAGATCGGAGGGGCCCTCTGGCTTTGCATCCCTGCTGGGTGTCTGCCCATGCTTTCCTGGGCTGTTCCACGTTGGGTTTGGCATCGTGCTGGGAGTAGAGGAGCAGTGCAGTGGGCAGGGAGGTGCTGGGCTGGCACTGCTGTGCTGCCTGCAAGGGCTGGATGCTGCCTCCTGGGCACCAGCTGTGTCTAAAGAGTTGGGAATGTGCAGAGGCTGTGCTGTCCCTGAGCAAAGTGTGGAGGGAGGGAGGGAGCAGTGTGTGAGCTGTGTTGATAGCCGAGCTCCAGAACGCTCACTGCTGGAGCTCAGGGCTCTCTGGGTGCTGCTCACAGCGCTGACCCCTGCTGTCTTGCTCTCTGTAGCTCATCACAGCTTTCCAAGCACTCATTCTGCTTTCTAGAGGTGCCCTCTTGCTTTAAGGCAGGAACTCCTTCAGGCTCTGCACAAGAGCTGTATCCCCACGCGTTCATTTGCAGAAGGTAGAGCAGCCGACTGATGAATCACTTTCTGCACTGAAATTAAGAGATGTGACCCAGGGGGTTACGAAGGGCCCTGTCCTTGTGCTCTGCCTTTGTGCCACCACTGAGCTTCGTCCTTTGAAGCCACCGGTTCGTCCTGGAGCAGTGAGGAGCTCTGCTTGCTCATCCCACACCTGAGTACAACCAGCGTATTTCTTTCAAAGGGAAACTTGCTCCTGTGATTTCAACTGCTGCACACGCGACATTAATTGGAATCTTGTTGCTGGGCCGCGTTCGTTGCTTTTCAAGTACCATCAAGTGCAAGAAATTGTATGGGAGGTAAATTGTAGCCCCACGCAGGCTGTCTGATTGAATCTCCTTATGGCTCTGCAGTCTCAAACATCCCGTTAAAGTACTCCGTCGTGTTCTCTGACTTGAAGGCCCTATGTGTAAAGGGCAAACTTTCAGAAAACCTACAACCTGTCTGGAGCGAGTCCTGCCCTTTGCTTGTGTTTATTAATGAAGATCATTAAATGCATTTTTAATTATAGACAGGCTTTCATTCCAGGGAATAACATCTCCCTCCTGCCTCCTCTCCCCAGGACGGAGCTTTATCGTTCGCTCTTTGGAAGAATGATGCGGCCTGAAGACCCTCAGCGTGGTTAGGATCCGGCACTGCCGCACCTGCAGGTTCTGCCCCATTCTCTTTGCAGCTTCCTGGCCTGCTCAGCACCGGCCAACCGTTGTGCCAGGAGAGGGATGTGCTGTCCCTGCACTTCTATTAAACCCTCAAAGGTTTTTATTTTGAAGATTGGTGGGATTTTTATTTTATTTTCTTATTTTTTTTGAGGCGTGCATTTCTGTTCGTTGGCTGCGGGTCTGGATTGGGTGACTTGATTTCCACTGAGTCAAGAGGATTTAAATGTCATTTACATAATTAACGTGGCCTTAAAACAGAGGTGCTCTGCCTTGCAGCAGCCCCAGCTCCCAGTTCACATTCCAGTTTCAGAACGGCCTTTTTGCAGCCATGGACGTCACCCAGCCTGTTGGTAGGCACGCTGTGGGGACACTCGTGGGGGTACTTCTGCAATTAGAACACATTGGTGAGTTTTTCAGCCCAGCGTTGATTGTGGACACTTAATTATTTCTGCTGACTGTGACTGTGAGCCCTCTTCTCTTCGCTGTGACCGTGACACACTTCTGAAAGATGGCAGCACTAATGCAGAGCTGCCAGAAGGCATCACGCAGGGTTTGTGGGCTTTCTGTAGCCAAAGGCCACAGTTTGGAAATGAAACCTCCATAAAGGGAATCTATTAGCCTGCTGTGATCAATGTGAAACCGAGGTTATCTCGTGTAAATAATACGTGCATATATGTGTATAATGAGAATGGCCATTGCTTGTGACCACAGGAACTGCACTGTCTTTGTTCTGTGGGATTTAATTAAAGCACTTTGTGAATGGATTGTCCAGGTTTGGTTGGTGCAGAAATGGCACCAGCAGCTCTAGCCTCTCTTGGGCCCAGCAACAGCCTGTTCTTAACCAGAGGCTGTGGTGTCACTTTGCACAGAGCTGCCTGAGCACCAGCAGAGTGTTCACAGAGCAGCTGGAACTTTGCTGCAGAGCCTTGGCTGGTGCCTGTCGTGATAGTGGTGTGGGGCACAGCCGTGCAGAGCAGTCATGGGGCCGGGGCTGTACAGCAGGAGCTCATTGCCTGCACTGCTTCAGATTTGGAGTAAGTTTGTAGATTTGCTATATCTAAATATGTGGGCTGACTGCAGGTCTGAGGCATAACTAGATTACGACTAGTTACAAGCATGCAGGCACTGCTGCAATTAAATCAGATGATACTGTTGTCCATGTAATCTCTGGATTTCCCTTCCTCACACAGCAGATTTGATGTGGTTTCACAAAAGCACTGCCAGCACTGTTGGTTCCTTGGTTGGTTCCTGCAGGCAGGACATGGGGCTCAGCCCTCCAGGGGACGATGGGTGCTGGAGCAGCATTGCTGTCCATAGGGCCTGGGTAAGAGCTGCTGTACGGCCTGGTGGCTCAGCACAGGGCAGCAGCAGTTGAGATTTAGTAGCTCCATCAGGTCCCCAGAGCTGTCTGCAGATCTGGTATTAATTAATCCTTTTTACACCTCTTCATTACAGCTTTAAGTCTCCTTTCTAGTTACCTGCTTCCAGTAAATAGCTTCCTGGCACGTCACACGGTGTATTGAGCAGTCTGCCACAGCACAGGAGAACGTGCTGAGCTGCAGAGAGCTGGGGCTGCATGTGGCACCTGGGGCTGGAAAGTGGACAGGAGGATGTGGGTGCTGCTCTGCCTCGTCCCACCGCCGGCAGCTTGTGAGCAGTCCTACCAGGTACAGAGGCACCTCTTTGGGGAGAGGACTTAATTTACTCAAGGGTCCATGACATTTCGGTGTTGCTTTTTTAATGTGGGGAAGGAAAACTGTAATTGTCCAGTTAAGCCCAGCTCGTGTGTGCTGCTGCTCCTTTAGGTACTGTGCCTGGGGGTGCTGTGCTTCAGGAAGCTGTGGGCCTGTGTCACATGCTGGCTGCACTCTGTGGGGCTGCATCTCAGCTGCTTGTCACTGTGCAGAGCACAGCCTTCCCTGTCTCGCAGCTCTCTGGGCAGGCTTTGCCCCGTTGCCCCCACGGACTGCTTTCCACAGCCCTTTCCATGTCGGGGTGCTGCTGATACGCTCTCCTTCCCCACAGGGGTGTGAGCAAGGCCATTAAGCCAAGAGCCATGTGCAGCACCGCACCGCTGCAGAGTCAGAGGGCCAGAACCCCACATCCATCCTCTGGGTGCAAATCTGGAAGCGTCCCCATAAGCTGCAGCGTGTTGGTTGCCAGCAATGGGCAAAGCAGCACTGCTGCAGCCCCACCAGTGCCCCAGGTGGTTCCCCTGCCTTCAGTGGTACCTGCACTTCTTTCCTGAGCGGCAGCAGAGCTGTGTGGTCGTCTAACATCATTAAAATCTCATGGTTTAATAACCGCAATTCTGAAAGGCATCAAGGGGAGTAAATTGGCTGCTTCCAAACTTGGTGTCGGTGGAATGGTTTCACGCTGCTGGCGCTGGCAGGGCAGGCATCACGGACGGCTGGCAGGGAGCGCCGTGCCCCTGCCCTGTTGGGGTTTGCTGTGCTGGCAGGAGGGCAGGCTGCGCTGCGGGGCTGCTGCTCTGACTCCTGTGTCCTTTAACGTGGCACCAAGATTCTGGGTATTATTTTTTTACATTTTGAGAGCTGGATGTAGCGTTAAAAGGGTAATGTGGAACACTTTAAATGTGATAACTTCTCCTTCGTATTGTTGGAAGAGATAAGAACCAAAGCCCTGCTAAGCATGCTTTTGAATTCACTTATCAGTGTTTAAGCAGGCTTCTCTGCCCGCTGCCCCCACCACCTGCACGGCCCGCAGCTCCAGCCTGCTGCCCTTCACGGGGAGGTCAGCACTGGTTCCAGGCGCAGGCAGGTGCTGCTGCTGAGTCCCTGTGCCCTGGTGGCAGCGGTCACTGTGCAGCCAGGTGTCGGCAGCAGCTGTGTGCGCTGGTCAGGGAGGGCACAGGTGTCCGGTGTGATTGCAGCTAAGTTTTCCTAATGATGCCAATTAACGGCTGCTGAGATTTATTTCGCTCCCCGATGGAATATCCGTTCTTTATTCATTCATGGTGCAGCTGCTGATGAGTGCCTGCACACCCGGCCCAGTGCCTCTGTGCAGCATCGCGCTGCAGCCAGGTGTGTTGTGATGGGGAACGGGCTGCGAGTGCTGGGGCGGCGCCGAGGGCTTCTCCTCATCCTCTCCCCCCACAATAGCAAAGAATTTCAACTTTCAGACAAACAACTTCATTTACAAGTGTGTCTCTAATTAGCTGCAGAATTAGTAAAGCAGAGTTTTCCCCCCATAGATCGGCCAAACCCCTGAGGGAGGCTGTGGAATAGAGAGAATCGCATTTCCAATTATTTTGTTGAATTGCTAATTTAGTTATTGTGCCTGGCGTAATTGTGATGGGTATTGGGTGTGCAATTCAATTTGTTTTAAATATTTGTGGGAAGGCTGATCAGTAATGGAGCTGACCTATTTCATGGCCCAAATTGAGAGAAGAGACTAAAACAAAAAACAGCTACAAAGCCACAGTTTGTCTCAGTTTTTATTTTGATGTCTCTCATCCCTCTTAAGACTGTTGATGCAACAAAAGGTTTACATTAAAAGATGATGGCACTTTGATCTCGGGCTTTTGAGAGCTTACAGCTTTGGTACTTCTTTTCTTGGCATTTTAATATGTAGATATTTTAGGCTAAAGAGTTTTAAATGCATTTCTGGAGTTCAATAGCCCCCTGTTTCCCCCCTCCCCCAGCCGTATTATGTTTGTTAAGGTGATTTGTGCTTTTACCCATCAGGATTCTGGTTTGAGAAATGCACAAGATAACAGCTGGGATTTTCCTGGCTCACGTTGTCCAGTTGAACACATCACACCTTAACCTTTAATAGGGAGAACCTGGAAGAAGGTGAGCAGGGAGGGTGTGTGGCTGAGCTGCGTGCAGGTCATGCCCAGTGTCTGTCACAGGGCTGCTGTGCCACCTCCCTGGGGGGGCTGGTTAACAGGGGGCTGTGCCAGCACCTGCAGAGCTGCAGTCACTCAGTGTTAAAGAAGAAATCTGGGGATGGGAGCGCCTGAGTGAGGCTCAGGGACGAGGGGTGACAGACTTACACTCCTGGCAACAGCGAGAGATGTAATTCATTCTTTTTATTAAAAGAAACTGAGGTAAGTGAAATACTTCAGCACCAGCAAGAACAGCGTGTACTGAGGGGGGATCCCGCAGTGCCAGACCCCCCACCCCGCTCACAGCCCGACCCACACACACATGGACAGGGCAGGGCACTGCAGCACTCACCAACAGCTGCTTTACCCCCAGTTAAGCAGTGCCTGAGCCCCTAACACTGGGCTGGAGGGGGCTGCTCTCGCCCAGCAGGCAGAAGGGTTTGGCGGCTGCAGCTCCCCCCAGGCACAGGGCGCAGCGTGGTGGCACCAGGACCTCTCCCATTAACAGCTGCAGAAAGGCTGGTAGCAGATCCATGTGTGACAGACCTCAGTGTGCCACCACCACGTAGCAATTCCTGGTGAGGCGCCCCGTTCTGCCTGGCTGAGACATTCTCTGTCCTTGTGTCCGGCTGCAGCCTGGATTGGCATAAGTAAAAAGCATGTCTGGGGATTGTTTGGGAGGGAGCTGGAGGGCAAAGAAGAGTCTTTTAAGTTAAAGTTAGGGTGCTGAACTAACAGGATGAGGTTTGTCCTTTGGGTGGCAGCTCCTGGTCCTCTCAGAGAGCGGAGAGTAACCAAGGAACCCCAGCACTGCACCTCAATCTTACAGCATTCCAGCTGCTGTGCACAGAAGGGAGCAGCAGGTCAGAGGGAAAGAGCACAGGCGTGAGGCACTGGCTTTGTAATTAATTCTCTCCTAAAAGCATCCCTTCTCATTCGCCCTATGCTAAAAGAGGAAGTGTAAAACCTGGAATACTTTTAAGACAATCATTGGTGTAAGCCCCAGTTTTACTTTTCGCAGAGTTCCTCTGCGAAAGA